CATTGGCACAAACCTAGCCTGTATGTATTTTTTTGTATGTCATCGAGAGTATTTAAATGATTTTCAATCAGGAAAAAAATGTGCGATTAAAATGCGATTAACCACAAATTAACTCAGGCATTGATGCGATTAATCGCGATTAAAAAAATTTAATCGATTGACAGCACTAAATAAAATACATGAGTATTTTGAAATACAGTTGAACCATTTTCATTATTGTAAAAACAGATCCAATGGAAATTAATTGATTTAGAACTGTATGAATCAAAATCTAATCGATTTAGGACTTTGGCAAAAATACCCAGCCCTACGCAACATCAAAAAAATAAAAAAATTACACACTAAATCAGTAAATGGGCCATATAGTGATACTTAAAAGTGTAATTTTCTTGCCTCAAATGATCTTAAAATGTACTTTTACTGAACAACAGAAACAGAAAAGAGAACTTTTAACTTAATACTCTGAGCTCTGTGAGCGCTCCATTGGAAGCTGCTGCTGCTGCTGCTGCAGTGCATGCTGGGACGGCTGTCAATCTCAAAAACGGAGAAGTCTGCTCTGATGCATGCTGGGTAAATAGAGAGGGGCGGGAACAATATCCAGGAACTTTGTCCATTCTCGGTCTGCTGTTCTTGTGAATTGGAACAGTACTAGTGCTGAGGCTGATGACGTTTCTCAAGCACACGAGAATGCACAAGTAAACAGATTGGGAATCGACCATAGTCTATGGGGGTCTCGCTATTCAGACAAAAAGGATTGCTCAATCCCAAAAAAAAAAAATCCAATCAAAGGAGATTTGTAGCCCCGCTTTTAAAAAGCACTGTGAATAATGTTAAACATAACACAGCTCTTACCAACTTTGCCTGCAGCCTCAGAGAGTTTATGGAAGTGCTGCAGGAGTTCTGGTTCCTCCTGGGCAAGCTCCGTCATGGCCTTCTCCCACTCTTCCCTGGCCTGGGCTGCCATGTCCCCCTCAAAGAGGGTCTCAAAAAGTTTGCTATCCTCTAGTAGAGGAGGCTAAATGAAGAGAAAACTAATTAATTACATTTAACACTCACTGA